GCTGGATTGGCAGGAGTGGGCTTGTCCGGCTTATCGCGGGAACGCTCCTCTTTCTTTGGGGCGGGAGCAGCTTTGGCTTTGGGCTTGATGAGAGTGTCACGAATTGACTCTTCGTTTGCTTCTTCTCTCAGCTCATCTAGCAATTCGACAAGCTGCGACCACAACCACGCAAAGGTTCGCTTGTTGCTACCTGGATTGGAGTCTTTGATCTTGTCGACTGCTCTGGAAAGAAGCCTGCAGTGCTTGAGCTTGGAGTATAACCAGCTAAACAAGGTAGACTCAGCGGGCCATGCTTCGGGACTGAAACCGTTCAAACAAAACTCAACCTTTTCTCTAAAGGCTTGCAGTTGTTGTTGGCTGAAGCCTTCGAGCTGGATGGCTAAGAGTGTCTGCTGGGAGACTGTCGCCCCCCTGATCCGGTCTACCCGACACCTTCGGCTGAGCATTGCCAACAGCGCACGCCCGGAAGGCTGCACGCCTAACGCATGTGCTCGCTCGGTGAACGCCTGGGCAGCGACTCCGTAGTCTCCCTTGAGGTGTTTTGGATCTGTAAGCTGTGCAGCCAGGAATGCATCAAGGCGGGGAAGGCCGTCAGACGTGACCTGCAGATTGCGCATCTGTCGGTCTCCTATGGCTGGATCAAGGGCGACCTGGAGCCATCTCAGTATCCTGGCGTTCCCACTCTTGTCTATGCTGCTGAACGATGTCAAAACGCCGTTCCTCCATGCTCGATATCCCGCGGCTGTCGAAGGAAGTGCAGGGATTTTCAGGTCTCGAAGATCTTTGTTGTGGTAAGTATCCTGCTCATAGTCTACTTCTTCTTCCCCCGGTGCATCGGTGACATCAATGATGGGGTCATCTTCCCTCTCCTCTTCCTCCTCACCTTCCTCGTGTTCGGACCCGATGTCGTAGTGCATCGGAGGGTCTGGGGCACGCACGACTGAAGGAGGTTTGGGAGTGGAGAAGACGTTGAAGGGATTGTCACTCGAAGAACCCTTCTTGGATCTAGACGGAGCCGGCAAACCAACACCGGTGAAAACTGGCAACCTGGGTGCGCAGAAGCATCCAAACCGATTTGGAACAGGCGCAGCAGCCACACCAGCAGATCTTTGACCTTGAGTCGCTGAGACCTTTGGACTCTTATGCTTAGGGGAGGGTGTCCCGTTTCGGAGCCCCGAACCTTTCGCTTTGCTTTTAGGCTTGGATGCTTTGGGACTGACGATTTCTCGCAACTCCTTCATTGTCTCACCAACACTTGCAGCCAAGGCCTTGAGGGCTTCACTGATCTCCGTGCCATTTTGGTCCTGAGCCCTTGAGGCCTGCGACACTCGCTCTGCGTGAAGGTGGGATGCGTCGGCTTGGGACTGTTGTTGAGCTTTGATGCTTTGCATCTCAGCTTGGATCATCGCAATCCGCTTCATCATTTCTTCCTGCTGCTCCTCAAGCTCACGATTCCTAGCCTGAAGTGAGGCAATGGTTTCGTTTGCTTGTGCAAGATGCTGACCGGCTTGTTCTGAAACACTCTGGACCTGTCTCTCAGCTTCAGCCCTAACGCGCTCTGCATACTCTTGTGCGTGCTGCATGGCTTCATGTTGAGCAGAAGTGACAGCGCTCTGAACATATGCCTGAGCCTCACTCTTTGCAACCTGCACGTATGCCTGAGCTTCATGCTGAACGTTCTGGGCAAACACCTGAGCGTCCTGTTGAATGTTTTGTGCTTGCGCTTGTGCCAGCTGTGCAGCAGCAACGGCCTGAGAATGTGTTCGGGAATCAACCCCATGAAGATGCAATTCCTGACGACTCTGATGCAGGTGCAACTCTGGGGCAATGCGCTGAACATGCTGATGCAAGTGCACATCCGGGGTGGTTGTCCCATCGCCCGGTGCAAGCGAAACAGGTTGACTTGCTGGTGCAGGACTTGCAACTTCACATGCATAAGCTGGCGGAGGCAACAAAGCTTGCATCCTAGCGGAGGAAGAGCGATTTCGGGAACTAGCTAAGGCATAGGGTTGAGAGGACCTTCCCCTTCCGGTTGAAACGGCTCTTACGGGAGTGGAATCACTACTGCTCTCTCCTACCCTTGCTTCTTGTGCCCTTACAGCACTGAGTGCCCGCGCCTGTTGTGTAGGCGGCGTGCTGGAAGTGGACACCTGGAGCGAGGAATCAGTAGTTTCGGGACTCATCGCCATGGTGCCAGGCAATAGAAACCCCAGGTTCCCCTGAAGGTCAGCACCTCTCTTTTAGCGTTTTACAGGGACCGCAGCCACAACAACACAGTGGGCACGAGATCAGTCAGCCACGTATTCGGCGATACCAAAAATTCGTGAACACCATACGCCTCGACGTCCCGCACGATGTCTGATCTGTCATCCAAATGACACGCAAAGTGATCCGACCGCCGGTCCATCAAACGCTTAATGAAGGCTCCTTTTCCAGGACGGCCCGTTGGAGAGCTAGTGATGTAGACTGGCACGCCCGGAAGCTCCGAAGCCATCGACTGACGCGTTTCTTTGGCCCGTTCTGTCCCAGAGTAACTCGTGCAAATAAACTTCAGCTTCACGTGGCTCGGACGCTCTGCGTTCAAACGGTCCAAAAAATCTCGGCTGTCCTGAAAGTGGATGTTGAGCACCCCGCTGAAATCCAATGAAATCAGGACAGGGATGTCCTCACGCACTTCGACCACTTCCAAAGGTGCAACACGCGGCGCGGCAGAAGAAGAAGATGAGAGCGCCTGATTATGCTCTCTCCACTCTTCAGTAGTCCACCGGTTTATGGCTTCTCTATCTGAGTGTTGTCCCAATTCAACCTGTACCCTGAACGAATCCGCTATGGTTGGATACTCTCTTTCGTCCAACTCCCAGTCCTGCGGTGGTCTGGACTCGGGTCGGGCCTTTGCTTTGGGACGATACACAAGAAGATCTGCTGCAGCCTCCGGTGCACGTGACGGACCTGGTGTTCCGGGCAAGGTACTTGCCTTGGGAGGAACCGGGGTTCTATTACCCTTATGTTTAGGTCGTGCCCTAGGAGGTGCAGGGGTTCGATCACCCTTATGTTTCGGTCGCGGTCTAGGAGGTACCGGAGTTTGGTCAGAACCCTCAACCAAGGAACGAGGCGGAGATCTGGAACGCACTGCGACAGGAGGAGTCCTCGGAGCCGGTATCTCAGGCTCCGGCGAAGGTGCCTGAAGCACTCCTCTGACCTCTTCCAGGGTATGCCTCCGTGCCCTCGAGCTCTCTTTCTCGAGTTCGGACCAGCCGTATGGCCCCAGACTGCTGCTGAGTACCGATGAGAAGCTGCACCAGCGCACGGATGACCACCAAGAGGACAGCTTTCCTCCGACGGAACTCAGACGAGCCTTTGACCGCAGGCGAGTTCGTGGCCCTGGAAAAAGCAGCAGTCACACGCTCCACAAAGGACTCTTCAGAGGTCACGCGTTCCCACGCCTGCAAAAAATCGTTCCAACCCATGGTACCAGAGACAATTGCACAGCCTGATTCGGGCGGCGACCCCTCTAAGCCTAATTCGGGCGGCGACCCCAACAAGCCTAGAAAGTGGCCAGAAGAATGTGTGCAGAGTGCCTGAGCTTGACTACCTTGCCGGGATTCCTCAGATGGGATATTGGGGCAATGCAGGTCTTTCAACTAACGACACGCACTCAACCGGCTGTCTGAGCCAATGCACACGGATGAAAGTGGGGAAGACCCGCGACTCTCTTTGCTTTGACCCTGAAACCTCTTAGGGATTGGGACTTTGTCCGATGTTGCGTTCACAGTGCGTGGTCAAGCCGACGGCACTGTGGGTTTGCTGTTGGCGGAGTGATGGGCTTAGTCTCAACCCGAAGGGAGACCACAAACCACGCGAAGATCGAAGTCTGAACTGAACCTGCTGTTTGGGCAGTTCGAGGCGAAGCACACGGTGATGCAGTGATGCTTCGTCAGACGCCTAGGGTACCCACAAGGCCTAGCCTCCCTAAACCGTGCACGGGTTCACAGGAGAGGGTACAAAGGCAAGATGTTCAGGAATGTTTGAAGTGAAGTCCGAAAGTCAGAACCAACCAGGGCAAGAGGGGCGAGCACCTCGACACTGCAGCGGAGATGCGCAGCCACACGATGTACCTGGATGTCACGGAAAGTATTGAGGCAATCTAGGGACCCACCTATCGTCGGCGTACGTTAAAGCACGGACAAGGACCCTAAGCTGCCAGTCAAACGATACCTCTCTGTAGTGATTAGCAAGAAGATTACTCACGAACCTTCTCCACCAATTTAGCGGATGAGCAATCAACAAATGCGTGATGCGTTTCTCACGCAAGGCCTTAATGAAATGAACCCAAATGTGGAGGTGTGTTGCGTAATGCTCTTCCGGCTCAGTGCTTTGCATGCACGATCGAAGATTTCGAGATATGGAATGCCACGTGGAAAGCCCAACGGTGGCTTGCAGGTGAAGTGAATGCAATTGCTGAGCCTGGCTCTGGCTCGACACAATGCTGGATGTGAAGTATGAATGAGGCAGGGCCAGCGGCTCCTGTCGCGCAATTTCAAGCACACTCTCAAGGCAGGTGTGCGGTTATGGAGGGGGCACTATGGCGGCGCGCGGCTTTGCCTACGTTCCTACCAAAGTGACCACGTAGCTTGAGGCTGTTAACCAGTTAAGTACAACAAAGGTACTTAAGACAAGGAAAGACGCACAACGGGCACGCCTATTTTCCTTGAGCCAAATACAATCAGTCATCCGAATCTGCTCTCCTAACCCTACTTGGTATGTACAGCTAAACGGTGGTTTGGGGCCAGTTTAGTTAACTCAAAGGGTCTTACATTTCGGAAACCCCTAGTATCGGGTGCGGTGGAGGTTGGAGATTGGGGTCTTTTTTTGGGGAGGGGAACCCTAAACCCTAAGCCCTAAGCCCTAAACCCGAAACCCGAAACCCGAAACCCTACACCCTAAACCCTAAACCCTAAACCCGGCAACCCCGCGGCGGATGGTCTCATCGGGCTCCGGGCGACTGCGCGCGCTGGCAGGCGCGGCTGGGCGGCGAGGACCAGACGAGATTCGGAGGGCGCCTAAATGCACTCAAGAGAGGCGATAAAGGGATGCGTATGTTTGCAACAAAAATAGGGAGATTTCAAGTTCAAGTTTAGGGGGTGAGGTTATTCGGGCTTGTGCTGCAGGGCTTGTGGTGCTTAGGGCTTCGAACCTTGGTCGGGATAAAACCCCCAAACTCTCAGCAAAGTTGGGAGCCCTGCGCCACCGGCGGCGCAGAGTCGTGGCGCCGCCTCTCCGGAAGCCACTGCGTTGGAGGGCCGACGGGTTTAGGGTTTAGGGTGCCCGGGGGTTGATCCGGACCCCAACAGACCCTCGAAATTGTTGAAACCGTTACTCTGGGAACCTTCAAAAAGGGGGCATGTTGTAGTAGGGCCTCTCCAGGTTTCTAGACGAGTTCCGTTGAGTGTCAGTGGGCTTCGTAACCGCCTCGCCGCCTTAGGACCTTAGGGTGTGAGACAGAAAGGTTCTCACCCTAAACCCTAAACCCTAAACCCTCAACCCTCAACCCTAAAGCTGAGCTTCGAGTTTAGGGCTGCGTCAACCCTTTTTTCTGGCGGGGAAAGGGGGGGGTCGAGGGCCTATGTAGGCTGGCAAGCTATGGGAAAAACGAAGTTAACAAACGTATGCTCTAAGTGGTTGCTCCCAATGCCCGAAACCCCAAACCCGATGTGGTGATTTCCCTAAATTATGGTCCTTTTGGGGGTCCTTAGTAAACGGCGGCCCCTCTTGTTTAGGGTACCCAAAAGAGGACCCTAATTTTGAGAACTCACCATATACACCCCTCTACACCCCTGCACACTCTAAGAGCTCATGAAGATGACCATGCCTCGAGTCGTACGCCTGCGCCAGCTCAGTGCAGGGGCTTCTTCAGGCTTTTCGGGTTGCTTTTGGGGTTCCAGGGCTTATCCGGGCATCCGGGGCTTTAGGGTTGCTGGGACTTCGTTTTTTTTTTTTGGGGTGGGGGGGGGGGGGGGGGGGGGGGGGGGGGGGGGTGCTTGCGGCTTTGGGGCGAAGGGCTCGTAGGATTTAGGGGAGGTGCGTCGGGTTGATGTTCCACGTTATGCTGACAGTCCTTAGAAGGGATTATCATAGGGGGTGCTATAATCCCCATGTTTCATACCCCAAACCCAAAACCCTAAACCCATTAAGGAGCTGTTGGGGGGGAGAACACCCCAAGTTTACCCTAAACCCATTAAGGAGTTGTTAGCATAAGGGAGAGAGCACCCCAAGTTTTAAGGTTCAAAGGTTGCGGGTCTTCAGGGCCTTCACTGATTCACCGGGCATCTCCCCGTGCCACCCTGCTGGAGCAGAGCCTAGGGTTTAGGGTTTAGGGTTTAGGGTCTAGGGTCTAGTGTTTAGGGTTTGGGGTTCAGGGTTCAGGGTTGAGGGTTTAGGTGTTTAGGTGTTTGTAGCCCCTCAGGTTGGGTCAAAGCTCCTTGCAAAGACTCGCCATGCAAGCCGGGAGGCGAATACAGCAAGCACCCTGAAAGCGAGCACAGCGAGGGAACATGTTTCCGGGAAGGAACACCCGGAGCTCCATGCTCATTCCCTGAGCCCCCCGAGCCTTATGGCTAGGGTTGCGGGTTCTACCCTGACTCCTGGGTCTTGAACCTGAACCTCCCGCTCACCTTTCTTTCGAGCTCGCCTGGCCGCCGTTTGGCATCTAGGGGGGCCTCTCAAGAAGGGACGAAGGAACCACGTCACTTGAAAATGAAACCCTCGACATTCGCCAATGGGCTGGCCAAACATCGTCAAGGCTCACGATCGTTGCGATGAAGATGATGCTGATGATGCTGATGCTGATGCTGATGATGATGATGATGATGATGATGATGATGATCGGATGATATAGCGCACAACATCGCAACACGTGCAACTTCATCCGGATCTCAGCTTAGACTTTCGTCGACCGTAGATGAAGGGTCCTACTCCCAGTTTGGCTTTGGGCCACCATGGGTCGTTTTGAATGTTCGACGTTCGAAGAACCGAAGCACCGCTGAGGCTGTTGACTTAGAGCTAGCTAGCTAGCCCGAGGTGATTCGCCACAGGATAGCTGCAACAGTCCACCACGAAAACATGGAGATCACGCTCAAGAGAAGCTCCCGGTCGAGCTGACGGAAGACATAGACTTGGATGGTGTAGCAAGCGGCGTAGAACAAAAAGGCTGCGATCACGATGGCCATTGACACCAAGAAGTCCAAGCATGGATTGCAGCATTGTGCTCGCAAGCGGAAGCACAAGCGGAAGGCCAGTTTGTCCATCAAAGGGAAAATTGCCAGGAAATAGGTGAGTGTTTGTGCTAGATGGACTACTTGTCGGGTGGGGTCGCTTGCATGGACAGCAGCTTGCTCAAGACGAAGCCAGAGATACGGAGTTGAAAGAAGTAAGATGCGCTGATAAGAGAGGGCCCTGTATGCAAGCTGATCGATGATGACCCTCCGCACTTCAGTCTGCACTTGCACTTCAAAGCTGTCCAGTGACTTGTACCACGCAGCTACGCACTCAAGAATGATCGCGCGGTCGCACAAGGACTCGTGTGCGGGGCCGTTCTGGCAGCAAGCGCTGCGCGTCTGCTCAACCTTGAAGGCCCCGAGTTGCTCCTGCAGTGTATGAACGCTGTGGGCATATCCACGAAGAGCATGCGTCACCAAGCTGAGGAAGAGCAGGACCATGATGCCAACCAGCAGCAAGTGGTGCTCCCCCTCAAGTATGGAACCTTCCGGCGCGTCCAAGAAGGACTCGATGTAGGTATAGATCATGGCCACGGCCCATATCAGCATCTCACTTCCCAGAAACGCTGGCCCCAATAAAGGAGGAACCAGCTGGAGGAATGCCTCGCCATCGCTGTGGCTGTGTAGAAAGGCAGCAATTTCAAAGACGCACCACCTTGGCTGATTGTCAGTTTAAATTGGGGTTTAGGGTTTAGGGCTGAAGGTTTAGGGCCAAGCTTAGGGTTTAGCCAGTCAAGGCGTCTACTTCAAGTTTACAACTCAATTAGCTACATAAGCTTAACGTGCATTGTGGTACAGAAATAACTGGCCGGGCTGAGAAAGTAATTCTCGATTGGACCCGTTTGACACCTCGTCTGTGCCATCTCGGACCGAGGAAAGTGACTTCTACCATCGAGGAAAAAGGAGGCACTTTACAAAAACAGGGGGGGTGGCCACTGACAAGAGAATCCAGGTCGCAGTCTTGTCACCCACGTAGGATCCCACAGAACCAGCATGGAGTTCGACTGCTTCAGAAATGCACCCATACTCATGATGGCCTCTCCCTTGCGTTCTTCATCAGTCTGATGGATGCAAGCGATGTCCAGAAACACCAGCTTGTGTGGACGCCAAAGCAGCAGCGTTATGCAAAAGGCTACAAACCCGAAGACCATGCACCATGTCTTCAGCGCGCCCAGAAGTCCAGCTGTGACAAGGCCGAAGGCTACGCCTGCGCCCAATGTTCCTGCAATGCTCGCTGGCAAGCAACTATGGAGGTAAAGTATGTTGATAAACTTGGCCCACCCGGGCCCCTGCCAGCTGTGGGACCAAAACTCATCGAGCTTTTCTGTTTCGCGGCTCAAGAAATGGAGGTCGCCAAGTTGGCCTACCAGCCAAGCCCACGGCAAGCCGCGCAGCAGCTGCCAAACGCGCACGCCACGCAGGATTTCTGGGCGCGTTGCCTTCATCTGATTGACGAAGGCTATGTAAAGCCGCAAGAGCTGGTCGGTCTTTGAAGCTACTGAGCCTTCAGAGGGCGTGTGGCAGGGCGACACGTCGCAAACTTCTAAAATTTCAGACGGCAGAGGGTTCTCCATGCCGACCAACACCTCCGGAAGAACTCCCTCGGGCTTGCCCAGCACTGTCTCCGAGCTCTGCAGCATGGCTCTGTCGACCTTTGGATCACAGCCTCAAGGTATTGAAAGACAGTCTTCCACCCCGCAGTTCGTAGGAGTTTACGAAACTAAGGACCCCCCAAATAGCCCTAATTCCGGAAACCCCCATGTGAATGCAACCTCGCAGTGACATCCCGCGCAACTTATCTGGGAGGAGCTCAACGTGGCGCAGCTCCCAAACCTAACGAGCACGACGAACGCCTATCTGCGCAGACATCATGCGATCGCTGCGCCAAAAGCCTGCCGGTGTTTCCTGATATCAACATGGCGGCTTTCTTGGCCCCGAGGACTCGCACTAGGACCAGAACAGCAAAGCGCCAGCAGTAGATACCCAACCCCGTGTAAAGAAGGCAGCGCCCTCAGCTTCGTGCCTGCATCTGCGAGGTTGATGCGGAGGTGCCGCGACCTAAGTAGCAACCGCTGCTTAGGGCAAAAGAATAATGCTTATGGTGGTGGAATCCGAAGGATTCCACCATTAACCACTAGTACGTCACATGGCCTTCGCTAAACCCTAAACGCCCCTCCCGGTGTCAGTCTCGGTCAGCCGCCGGTGACCGACAGCATCTCCGACAACAAAGCCCTGGCCTGCCAAGGCTTCTAGTAGTGATTGTTATTACTACTACTATTATTGTTGTTATGATTATTACTAGTAGTAGTAGTAGTAGTAGTAGTAGTAGTAGTAGCAGTAGTAGTAGTAGTAGTAGTAGTAGTAGCAGTAGTAGTAGTAGCAGTAGTAGCAGTAGTAGTAGCAGCAGTAGTAGTAGCAGTAGTAGTATTAGTAGTAGTAGTAGTAGTAGTAGTAGTAGTAGTAGTAGTAGTAGTAGTAGTAGTAGTAGTAGTAGTAGTAGTATAGTAGTAGTATAGTAGTAGTAGTAGTAGTAGTAGTAGTAGTAGTAGTAGTAGTAGTAGTAGTAGTAGTAGTAGTAGTAGTAGTAGTAGTAGTAGTAGTAGTAGTAGTAGTGGTATTATTCTTTATAACATTATTTTTAATATTCTGATTATGATGATTATCTTTAGTATGATTCTCATTATAGATATGGGGGTTTGCGATATTAGGGGTACCTTTTTGGGAGCATTTTTGCAGGGGATCCTACTAATTGGGGTCTAATTAAGGGTTCCTCTTTATTGTAACCCGCATATGTGTCCTCCCACATTTTCCCACACGTTTAGGGAAAGGGCGGTTGCTTTTGCTGTCGGCGCTATTTCACGTGTTGCTTGTCGGCATGGATGGTTTTGGCCTGGCCCTTTTAAGAAGACATCTTGAACCGCTAAACCACTCATTTTACAATCTGTATATACCTATACAATATACTTATATCTATAACCCTAAATATATACATATATATATATATATATATATCCATACATACATACATGTATGCATGCATGCATACATACATACATTCATAGATGTCTATAGATAGTCTAACGCCGGCGCGGCCGCCCCCCCCCCCCCCCCCCCCCCCCCGCGTGGTTCGGGGATTGGGCTGGCTCAATGCTGGCATCTTGGCATTAGAAGTTTCAAAAAAAAATGCGTGTACTCTGAAGCAAGCCAGAACAATGAAAAAAAAGAGCGGGGGGTTGGGGGGGGGGGCGCGCCCCCCCCCCCCCCCCCCCCCCCTCGAAAGTATGCTGAAGTACCTAAAAGAAGCGGGGGGGTTGGGGCGGGATGCAGCCCCCCCCCCCCAATTTGCAAACACAATGCTCGCATCAGAGGCGTCGAAAAGATGAGTATGAAGCAAGCTGGCACGACTTTTTCCTTGCTTTGTTTCTTTTGATATTTATTCATTTTTTCTTTTTTCTTTCTTGATTCCTTCCTTCCTTCCTTCCTTCCTTCCTTGCTTCCTTGCTTCCTTGCTTCCTTGCTTCCTTGCTTCCTTGCTTCCTTGCTTCCTTGCTTCCTTGCTTCCTGCCTTCCTGCCTTCCTGCCTTCCTGCCTTCCTGCCTTCCTGCCTTCCTGCCTTCCTGCCTTCCTGCCTTCCTGCCTTCCTGCCTTCCTGCCTTCCTGCCTTCCTGCCTTCCTTTCTTGCCTTAGTGGGCACAAAACTTGAGGTATCCCAACCGGATTCTTGCCAGAGTGCAGAGTGGCCACCAAATTTGAGGCACGCGAACCAAGTTCTTGCCTTAGTGGCCACCAAACTTGAAGTATCCCAAGGCGGTTCTAGCCTTGTGGCTACCAAGCTTGAGGTATCCTAACCAGGCTCTTGCCTATGTGGCCACCAAACTTAAGGTATTCCAACCGGGTTCTTGCCTTGGGGACCACCAAACTTAATGTATCCCAACCGGGATCTTTTGCCTTAGTGGCCATCAACTTGAACAAAAGCCTGTGGTGCCCCGCCCCCCGCCCACACCACCACCCCCCCACTGTCTCCCCCGTCCCCCCTGAACCCTAAACTTAACTTCGAAAACCAGAAAACCCGAAACCCCTAAATCCCAAAGCCCTACAACCCTAAACCACAACCTTAGCTTAAACACCCAAACCCGCAAACCCTAAAGCCCGAAGTTCCTAAACCCAAGACCAACCCACAACCCCACGGTCTCTGGGGCGGCCCGGGGCGGCAACCCGCTGGCCCCCAAGCCTTCAACCTTAAGCCCAACCCCAACCCCGACCAGCGTGGAGGGGGTGGGGGGGGGGGGGGGGGGGGGGGGGGGGGGGGGGGGGGGGGCCGCACCGACATCATTCATTCATTCATTCATTCATTCATTCATTCATTCATTCATTCATTCATTCATTCATTCATTCATTCATTCATTCATTCATTCATTCATTCATTCATTCATTCATTCATTCATATATATATATATATATATTTAATTTATATTTATATTTATATTTATATTTATATTTATATTTATATTTATATTTATATTTATATTTATATTTATATTTATTTTTATTTTTATATTTTTTTTTATTTTTATACTATATTATACTATGTTATATTGGATTAGATTATCTTATATTGTATTATTTATATATATATATATATACTCTGGCCACACCTCCTCCATGAGCTCCTCCCCAGAACATCTGGGGTCCGCCGTCGCCTTGTGAAGGGTTAAGTGGGGGGCTCTACATGGCCCCAAAGTTGGGATTCTTCATCGACCCCTTCAGCCTGAAAACACTACGTCAGACCCAAACCGCAGAAAAAAGTAAGAATAACGCAATAAATTTCAATCATAATAATACTGATAATGAAAATAATAATCATAATCATAATAATAATAATATATAGAGAGATACATACGAATAAACAAATAAAGAAAACGTACGTACATACATACATATATATATATATACATATTCATCTACTAAATCATTTGCAGCAGTCCCCTGACTGTGGGAACTTCAGTGAAGCTTCCCTGGCACTTTAGGTATAAGGTTCCCCACTGGCAGGTGGGTTTTCGAACTTGGCGCTCCCCCAAACATGCCCTGGGGTGCGGTTTTTGGGTTTAGGGTGTAGGGCTACATACCGAAGATGAAGTTGGGTACACTGGTTGAGGGCTTAGGGTCTTTGGTGTAGGGGAATCTTCGGGGTGTTTGGGCCAGGGGAATTTTATGGGCGACAAATCCACACCACGGAGCATACTGCCCGACGTCACGCTTGACTACTTCCGAGCTCCCGTCCGCACGTCGACGAGTTCCTTCCAACAGCGGGGCGCGTGGCATGGGCTGCAACACTTCCCTGAAGACCTTGCACATCGATCACCTGATTTCAGGGCTTTCCTCATCCCCTCCGAAGCCCTGAAGCCTGAGAAACCCTTACGCCCCCACAGCCACAAGACCAAGGCCGGCAAGACCGTCCTACACCGTAAATAGCCTAAACCCTAAACCCTTCTGTAAGGCCTAAACCGCTAATCCTGGACCCGAACCGCGACTGGGACAAGGCCCCCAAAACCCTGACATTCTCCTCAGGCCTCGTCCCTCCTGGCCCCAAGGGCTCGTCTCGCCAAAGGGCGAGGAGGTGTCACCTGATAAGCCCAAGTTAATGTTTCGGGTTTGAGGGTTTAGGGTTTAGAGGAACTTGCCTGGCCGGGGGGGGAGGCAGGCGTACTGCAGGGGCCCACCTCCTCAAAACCCTCAACCTGAAAATTCTGGATGTCGGGAGCAGATTCTTCATCAGACATACCAGGGCCCGTGCTCCAAGTGCTCGATGCCTGAAGAGAGCAGGGGCTTGGGGCCCGGTTCAGATCAGTCGCCCTAACCATAAAATCCTGAATCCTGAACCTAAACCCGCAGAACGACGCGAACCCGGACACAAATCCGCAACCTAACCTCTCAACCCTAAACCCAAAGAAAGCCAAGGCCTGTCCGAGGCTGACGCCAGGCCTCCGATGGACATTTCCGGGAAGTTGGCGGTTTCAATGGGGTCTTCTCAGGGCCTACTGGGGCTTGATGCAGCTTTGAGGCTTGGGGGTTTGGGTTTGGGGGCTTGAGGCGGGATTGGGGGGTTTGAGGCCACGCTGGGCGTGTGCTCTGGTGGGGGTTGGGGCTTCTTGAAGGGGGGGAGGGGGGGGGGGGGGGGGGGGGGTTATACAAGACTGTTCCAGCTGCGTGTGCCGACGGGCAAATTGAAACTGCCTTGGGGGTTGAGTGGGAGCAAGTTGACAACCCTCTCTCTCTCTCTCTCTCTCTCTCTCTCTCTCTCTCTCTCTATGCATATATGCGTTTATGTACGTATCTGTTATGTTTTCTGTTTTTGACCTTACTTTTTTTCCCAGTATAAGCACAGAAATCAATGCTGTCAAAACTATATAACCCTCTGCAAGCCCGAAACGCGACACCGCCCTAAAGGCCTCACTACCTGACAGTCGCGCGGAGCTCTCCTCGACAACTCGTCCATGCCAATCTAGTCTTCTTCGGACAAGTTCTGGAACCAAAATCCTGTCACCTGAAAACTCCCACAGCGTCTGCCCTACCGAGTTCCACTCCCGGTGGCCGGGGGTCGTACGAGGCACGGGTGGATGGCGTGCTGGCGGTCCAGGTCGAGTGAAAAGCCTAAGAAGCGTCTATGTTGGGCTGAAGAGGGTTCCGGTTTAGTGGCAATGGCGTTGCTTCGGCGTGTTCCTACTTCAATCCCTCGACGTGGCTGGCCGGGCAGTATGGCTGCAGTGCCTTTGCCTTGCGCGGTGCCCGTGGCCCCCGCGTCACAAGCTACAGAGCAGATGCGAGTAGACGACCCGAGCCGCAGGCGGCATTCGCTGTCTCGATGGCGAGCTGCAGGCTGGCATCCTCTCCGGCAGGGCGATCTTCAACAAAGATGAATTCAGGTTCGGCTTTGCTGTGTCCTTGCTGATGCTGGCTGCCTCCTCTGGTAGAGACTATGGCACCATAACCGCTTCGGGCGAAGACTGCATGTTCCCAAATATCCACGACAGGTTTCTGGCAACCTGAAGCTCTGAAGTATCTACGGGGAACCCTTGAGGGTACTGGGTGTAAGGAATCGGGGGAGATTTGTGAAGGCCACCTCCGGCTTTCGAAGCCCCAAAAACCCCAAGCCCTCAGGCCTCTGGCTCACGGCGTGGTCGCAGTCGAGCCTGTGCACAGCTCTGGGTTTAGGGTTTAGGGTTTAGGGTTTAGGGTTTAGGGTTTAGGGTTTAGGGTTTAGGGTTTAGGGTTTAGGGTTCAGGGTTTAGGGTTTAGGGTTTAGGGTTTAGGGTTTAGGGTTTAGGGTTTAGGGTTTAGGGTTTAGGGTTTAGGGTTTAGGGTTTAGGGTTTAGGGTTTAGGGTTTAGGGTTTAGGGTTTAGGGTGCACGGGCTCTGGCAGCTTAGGGCCATTTTAGTCCTATGATGACCCTGGAAGCCTCACGGGTCATGGGCCCTACAAATCCACTAAGACTCAAAAACCCTCAGGGCCGTGGTCGGAAGCCCGAAACTGGCAGTTGACACGGGGTTAAGGGCTCAGGACTTGGGCCCCTGCCTTCTCCGACCGGGGCCTGGGGAGCGTGGTGCTGGGCGATGCCCCAGGCGTGCGCAGCCTGGCGCGCCGAAAATGTGGGAAAAAACACAGCTCCAGCTCCTGGAACGGCCTCAACCACAGACCTCTTCCCCATCCTTGTACTATCCTTGTAAGCTTGTGAGAGTTTGGGGCCTTGGCTCTTGGGGTCTATAGCGCTCCTATGGGCTCACAGCGTTTCGGGTGACGCACCACCAAGGCCCAGCTGCTCGCAGGTGCTCCGTATATCCCGATAGAACCTAGCCCCCCTGCATAAGGGTTTAGGGTTTTAGGGTTTAGGGTTTAGGGTTTAGGGTTTAGGGTTTAGGGTTTAGGGTTTAGGGTTTAGGGTTTAGGGTTTAGGCCCACCCCCCCCCCACAACAAAGAAAAAAGTGCCCCAATATTAGGGCCCGGTGAACAAGTTTAAACAGCACCGACAGCCAGGCCTACAGTGTACAGACAACATGGTGGGTGTCCTAGGCTTTCAAAGGTCCAGGGGTTTTTTGTTATCAAAGAAGCAGGAAGCACAAACCAGAATCATAATCATTCATACCCGATGGTAGTAACACTACCACACATCAATAACACGATCACGAACAATCACAATAGTCATAACACACACTTAAACTTAAACATAAACAACTTAAACAACATAAACTTAAACCCAAACCCTAAACCCTAAACCCCAAACCCCTGAGCCCCAAACCCCTAAGCCTGAATAAGGGGGCTCAGGGCTGGCAACTCCCCTAGGCAAGCCGCGGCCTCAGCGCCGCGGGCGAGGGGAGCTGCTCCGGGGAAGGGGCATCCGAGGCCTCCGGGTTTAGGGTTTAGGGTTTAGGGTTTAGGGTTTAGGGTTTAGGGTTTAGGGTTTAGGGTTTAGGGTTTAGGGTTGAGAGTTCAGGGTTTAGGGAAGCTGCTTCCGTTCCCTTTTGGGCTGTTTGGTGTTTGGGAAGTTTGAGAAGTTTGGGGTCTTTAGGGTTTAGGGCCACACCCATAGGAGTCTGTAGACCAGAGCGAACCTCGGCGAAGGTAGGGGACTTTGGCGAAGGAAAGAGAGGAGTGTACGATTTTTGGAGAACTCCCCCTCGCCCGACCTCCACCCCCGTCCCCCTCCCCCCGTCCCCCTCCCCAGCGGGGCACTCAGCGTGCTGGCATGAACGTGCTTCTGAAACCGGGGCCCTCACTGGTGTGCACGACATGAAGGCACGCGACCTGGCGAGGTTTGCACAAGAAGAAAAGCGAATAGGCTATTTGTGATACCAAGAGTAGCGCGCAGAACCCTCGCGCATTTTGGTTTGCCCTAAACTCTAAGCTGCCCCTCGTACTCCCACACGGGGCCCCTGCTTGAGCGACGCGCCAACCTGGGCAGCTAGGCTTAAGGGTAACGGGAGGAACTAGAGAGGCGCATCCTTAAGAAGTCTTTTGGCCGACAGAAGCTCCACTTTACACTGACACATACTGAATGCAAGATGATCCACAGTTAATCTCACATGCTGTGGCTGTGACCTCTTTCATAGGAGCCTATTGTATGTGACCTCGGCACCTCTCAAAAAAGGAACACAACCCAAGCCGCGGGCCGGGGAAGGGAGACGCACGTCTTCCAGGCGCATTCGGCAGCGCTCCAGCTCCTGGAACGTTTCAACTCGCAAGAGGGGCCCTGACAAGCTGTGCTCCTGCAGAGCCTGCTCGTCTCTACTACTGGATCCTGCTTCGGAACGGTATGCGGATATCGTACATCCTCCGTCATCTGCGACTCTTCTGCGCACTCCCGGGTCTGAACCACTTCGAAGGTTTGGGTTAAGGGCTTCAGTCTGTTTCTGCAAAGAGCGACCTCCATGGACAACCCAGCCACTCATGCGAGTGCTCGCCTGAAGAATGACGTCGCTGGAGGGCGGTCTCACATCAATTCCTGCAGCAAGGACGGTCTATACAGGGATAGTCTGGACACTTGATCATTGATCGACTCAAGTAAACAGAGTCGGATGAGATAGCCCATCAACTATGTGTCGTCAGCTCCAGCAAATTGGTTGAAGTTGTAAATTGCAGCTGTAATAAGCGCAATACTAACTTGCTATTTGGAGTTTCCCTTCGCGGCATATATACACATATGACCACATATGCATTCGTTCGAACCCCACCCCCGTCTGCACATGACACCTGAAAAGCCATAAAGCTGACCGTCCTGTGTTCAGCGGAATCAGCTTGCTGCCTCGGAGGGAACTAGGGTGCAAGCCGGTGCAGGGGCCGGGGCTTTAGGATGTTTGGCTTGGTGCTCTTTGAAATGGTGCTCACCCCGAAGCCCCTCACGGAAAATTGATCACAATTCCTGAATGGACCATGTGCAGCCCAAGTGGCACTGATCCGCCAGAGGAGTCTGCGTCTCTCGCCGAGTCTCTTGCCTGGACAGCGTGGCAATCGAAACAGTGCCCTCACTCTGCAACATCATGGAAAGTACGCAGACATTCAAAGGAGAGAGAGAGAGAGGAAAAGAAAATAGTGGGAGAGAGAGCGACAGTGACTCTGGTCTCAGCTAGGCCTGGAAGCGGCGCAAAGGCTGCCGGCGCTGCTACACCGCAGCACGCGGCTCCGGAAGCCCAGCTGCTCGACGAGGCCACCGCGGGCCCTCTGCGGCAGAGCGCCCCAGGCTCCTTCCTTCTTGGCCCAGGGCGTGGGTGCTGGTGCCGGCGTGATGGCCTCTGCCTCCTCAGGGGAGGCCTCGGCCCGAGGCAAGGCCCCGCAGGCGAAGATGCCCAGGCAGCTCAAGTTCTTGCGCCGCCGCGGCCGCCCGCGCTGGGCGGCGTCGCTGATCTGGTCGACGTCTAACTCCAGGCCATCCTCCACGCTGCTCGTCCGCCGCCTGCGAAGTCTGACATCACCGCTGAAAACCAGCGAACACAACCGCCATCCACCACAACCTGCCTCCTCCCGCCAAAGAAGGAAGGGGAGGGCGCCAGCGTGGCCAGCGGCGTGCGCCCTGAATGGCCCTGGCTCGGCTTCCTGGCAAAGGACAGAGATGAACCGAACACGCAAACCAGAAGCCAAAATAAGCCTTAAGAAGTGGGCCTAAATAAGCCGTAAGAAGCGGACCTTATAAACTACATAGTGAATATAGGCATTTCCCAAGATAGGGTCCCCTGTCGTATACCCCAAAATACTATACTCCTTAACAAGGGAACGCCTCGAAAGGGTAACCCCCCCATCTTCGGAAACCCCCCACAAAGGAATCCCGATTATGAAGTCACTGCATTCCTTAAGTACGGGGCACGGGGCTCCCTAAACCCTTTTTGCCACTGGCTTGCAAAGTCACGCCAGGAACGCACCCCTGATGTCGCTCAACTCCTTGAACCCTAAACCCCAAACCCCAAACCCTAAACCCTAAACCCTCAACCCTAAACCCTAAACCCTAAAACCCTAAACCCTAAACCCGAAACCCTAAACCCCCAAGCCAGCTCTGCGCACCCGCCACGCGCGCCCCCGAACCGGCCTCCTGGCGAAGAGACGGCTGAGCCCTCTCTTCGGCGTCTCGGACTCGCCCGTCCACCCAAAGTTCATCCTTTGTTAGGGTTTAGGGTTTAGGGTTTAGGGCTTAGGGCTTAGGGCTTAGGGTTTAGGGTTTAGGGCTTAGGGCTTAGGGCTTACTGTAGAGTTTAGGGTTAGGGATTGTAGGGTTTAAGGGTTTAGGGATTATAGGGTTCAAAGGTTTAGGGATTATGGGGTCTAAGGGTTTAGGGATTATAGAGTTCAGGGATTATAGATTTAGGGTTTTTGGGATGATAGGGTTTAGGTTGGGATGTTCCCCCTTACTAACAGTCCTTAGTAGGGGATTATTATAGGGGGCACTATAATCCCTATTAAGGACTGTCAAAGTTCATCCTTTGTGGGGAGTAGGGTTTAGGCACTATAGGATTTAGGGATTATAGGATTTAGGGATTTTAGGGTTTAGGGATTACAGGGTTTAGGGATTATAGGGCTGAGGGTTTAGGGATTATAGGGTTCAGGGATTATAGGCTACAGGGATTAGGAATGGTGGGGATTTGGGTTTATGGGGTTCAGGGATTAGGTCGGCTCCTCTTCCAGACGAGTAGAGAATGTCGAAGACGTTTGCTTCAAACATCAACCCTCAACCCCGACGCGCACAAGCCCGAAACTCCCAACACCAAAAACAGACTTAGCAGCAAAAAACCGTGCCACAAACCCGAAACGCGAAACTCCCAGCCGAAAACTCTGATGAGCACCGCTGAGCAAGCAAGAGCCCCTCAGCTAAACACAGCTTTGACAAGAAAAAACAGAAAAGGCCCTGCCCCCACACCTCTCACTTCCACACCACCCCGCCCCCCTTCTAATACCTAAACCCTCAACCCTGAACCCTACACCCTATAAACCCTAGAAACCCTAAAAACCCTAAAAGCCCTGTAAACCCTAAAAAACCCCATCAACCCAAAAACCTGAAAGCCTGCCAAAGCAGGTCTCCTGGCGAGGTGCAAGGGGGAGCTTGGCCTAACGTCAGAGCATGCCAGGCATTGCGGGAGGCCCCACCGATCTCGGAGCCAGGCTGCACAGGACTCTCTTTTGAGGGGTTTGGGGTTTAGGGTTTAGGGTTTAGGGTTTAGGGTTAGGGTTTAGCCGTGATTTCCCGATGCGCCAGCCCCCAAGAGTGGTTTCTGCGCGTGGCAGGCACCCCCGAAACACTATCTTCCTTGCCATCCTGTTGGGCACGTTCTCACAGTGTGGGATGTGCCACCAGCAGTTGAAAATGGTCACCCAAAACCAGTAGGCCGCACGGGACCAACACTGCAGCACGCCCGCACACTGCCAAGCACCTCCAAGATCTTTTTTTGAAAGCTTGCAGACCTCGCGGCGTCGCGGCCTCACTACAGTCTTTGACAACTTGATACGGCTATAGAAAATGGATGAAATGCTAGAAGGAAACATATGCGCGTACCCGGCTTTGCCCGTGGCCGAGCCAAGCAGGGCTTCGTGCCTGCAGCCTGTGGCCCAGGACCCCCGGATGCCTTCAAGGAGCTCCAAAAAAAAGCAAAAGAAAGCCTTGAAATGCTCACGCGGTGTGTCCAGATCGTCGATAGGTTTCTCAGGGCCTCCGGGTTGAAAAGCAGCTTCAAACCTGCTTTTGTGCAACGCGGCGTCGCGACCAGAATTCTGGTTGCTGTTTAAAATATCGTGGGGGGCCCTCCATGGCGCCTCTCAGCTCACTTGGCTGCCTCCTGGAGCATCTTCCGGCACTCCTCGCAACCTGCAAAGAGGGAAGCACAACAGTTGGGACTTCGCTATTCTCAAACTTTTAACAGCGTTCGCTCTTTGCGGGGACCTACAACTATTTCAAAAGCCTGCCAGAAGGTGAAGCTGAGCTACTCTTCCCCCTGCATCAGCAAGCACCCCCACCCCGCCCTACCTTACCACTACAAAAGCCTGCTCACGGACCACCACCACGAGGAGCACCAGCACGCAGATCATTTAGGTGTTTCGGGTTTATCCCGGTTGCGCTGCACTCAATGCTTCAGGGCCTAGCCGCTCCCCTTGAAACAACAACACGGCTGCGACGGTGACCTGTTGCGCCGCCGCGCATTGACATGTCGTAGGCAGTGAGGCCGCCGCTCTTCAACTGGCACCGTGTCACGGCAACAACCCTGAGTAACCCCACCATAACTCGATACCTGGGACCCTCCTTACCTATAGCTTTTATGGGTTACACCTACGAATTAAGGGTAGTTGCCACTAAACTGTAAATAGGGTCCCATGTACCCAGGCCACGGCCCGAAGACATCATTCTTGGTGGTGGCATCCCGTCACGGCCAATGATCTGTAGGGCCCTGTAGGGCGTAGCAATCCGTACTTGGAGGTTCATGGTCCTTATGAACCAATTATAACTGTACTTATAACCCACTTATAAGGCCCTTAAGTGCCCGAATATGGTTAGAAGTGTACAATCCCTAACACCGCAGTTAAACCTAAAACCCCGCACCCTAAACCCTTAAACCCGCACACCTCTCGCACCCCAAATCCACAAAATGGGGGTTTCCGGAAATACGGGGTACCTTATTTGGGGGTCCTCCAGGGGAATCCTACTATTTTGGGGTCTAGAACCCCTAAACCCTAAACCCTAAACCCTAAACCCTAAACCCCCATGTGCATATTAGGGGTAACCTATTTTCGGAAACCCCCAAAAACACTGCAAGCGATGCAGCTGCCATGCCCCCCCCCCCTTTTGGCCACCTTGGCATCTGCACCGGCCTCCAGCAGCAGCTTCACCTGTTGAGGGCGTGGGGTTTAGGGCTTGGGGTTTAGGGTTTAGGGTTTAGGGTTGAGGGTTGAGGGTTGAGGGTTGAGGGTTGAGGGTTGAGGGTTGAGGGTTGAAGGTTTAGGGTTTAGGGTTTAGGGTTGAGGGTTGAGGGTTGAGGGTTGAGGATTGCGGGTTTAGGGTTTAGGGTTTAGGGTTTAGGGTTTAGGGTTTAGGGTTTGGGGTTTAGGGTTTAGGGTTTAGGGTCTACGGGCTAGGGTTTATGGTGGAACCAAAGGCCCTCAGAAAGCTTGAAGCGCGTCGCCCGTGTGTTGGACGCCCACGAGATCCCCTCATAACAGGGGCCCGCAAAAAGACCCCCGGGCAACCCAGGCACCATGTCACTGATGCCGTTGGAAGCTGCCGACATCAGTGGCGTGCGCCTCGGACAGCATCTTTTCAAGTGCAGGGTTTAGGATTGAGGGTTTACGGTTTCGGGATATTCAGGCGTAGAGGATTGGTCTTCGCTGTGAGTCACTCCAGCAACAGAACTGCGAACAAACAGGCATCGCGAGCCAAGAACGAACCCCATAACTCAACTCCACATGTGGGGCACGTCCTTGGAGGATACTGCTAGTGGTCGGGAGCTGAGCACCCTGCCCACTCGCGGAGGCGAGGTTGATGTCCGCACCACCCTCGAGGAGCGCCTGTGTGGCCTTCAGACACGTCCACTGGCCACTCTCCCGAGGAGGAGACATACGAGGAGACGGACATGCTCAGACGAGGTAGGCTCTGCCCCCAAAGCTGCAGCATGGGTCAGACGCCTAATTACCACTGCTAGTCCAAGTTGGGATGCTCCCCGGTATACTGACAGTCCTTAGAAATAGGGGGTACTATAACTTCTATTCAGGACTCTAACCTGATAAGGGGGAACATCCCCAAAATCTAGGCGAAGTATTGAAGATACCCTTGGAGCTCCCGGTCCTCAATGCTGTCGGCACGAACTGCATATCGCAGAGCCGTCCAGCCATACTGGTCCTTCGAGGTCAGCGCAGACCAACCCACTAAACGGCAAAGGGTGGAGAGAGCGACTTTCTTGCTCCGACTTCCGTCTGGCCCCACCAACTATCAAGCAACACCTTCTGGGTTCTGGTGCGTGTGCCTCGGCTTGCCTGGTGCACTTTGCGCTCAGTAGCTATACCCTTTGCTTTTCATGCAGCAAGGACCTGATTCAGCAGGCCACCTCACAGACAGATCCGCCACTGCACAAGACGCCTAGGCCGCTGTCCTGCGCATTGAGGTTGGCGCCGTTCTTGACGTAGGCCTGGACTTCCTGGGCCCGTACTCAAAAGAGCCCACAATCTGGGGCTCGTTGCCTCAACCGTTCTTTCTTTAGACGTTAGCCGAACTCAGCCTTGACCTCGCATTCCAGCCGGAACACTCCAAGCCCCCGGCGTTGGCGTCGTTCTTGTGCGCTGCCATCATCAGCGGCGTCCTCGGATTGCCAATGAAACAGCGCAGCCCGGAGCAGCCTGGGGTTTGGGGTTTGGGGATCATTGCGACGTATGCGCCCTCAGATCCACTCTTTCCCTGCCTGACACGTGCCTACCTCCATCACTGGCTCTGGTCTCTAGGTCGTCCTACACCCTCGAATTACCAACCAAAAAACAAACCACCATCCCAAGCCCGCAAGCCCCAATCCTCAAACTCCCTAAACCTCCCTTACTCACGACAGGCGCGCGGCGTGCCACCATCGCCCAGGGAGCCGTCGCCCTCGAAGCCCAGGTCCGAACGTCGCAGCACCGAGGTTGACCCTTGGGATCCCATGAAGGCTACATGGGGTCTTTCGATGGTGGGGTTTTTGATGTGGTTCGGGGTTTAGGGAGTGCAGGGTTGAGGGTTGAGGGTTGAGGGCTGAGGGTCTACGGTTTGCTGGGGTTTGGGGGGGATTTGCGCATCAGCATGGATGTGTTCGGCTTATAAGCAAAGTAGGCAAACTTCAGGATGGGTTCACGGTGTTTCTGACGTGGAGGATGTCTTGGCAGGCTGCACAGAGTAAGATCTTCGTGTGTGCTACATTTTGGGCATGCCACCATTCTCCGACGCAAGAACTGATGCATCGATGTCCTGCCCGGGCCCCCCACTTGGGCTGGCAAATTGGCCCACGAAACACAAGGGCGCCCACCTGAGCTGTGTGTTCACGGCGGGATGTGGCCCCATGGAATCCAAGCCCTGAACCTACCGGACAGCACGTGAAAATTTGAAGTCCAGTACGTCGAAATCTCCCCAACCCAAGCACCTCCGAACCCTAAGCCATGGGGTGGGGGGGGGGCAGCCATCGGCTTGTTGAAGAGCCCCTGGCGTTGAACTGCAAGTGTTTCGATTGCTTCGCATGGCTTGGCTTAAGGTGTGGAGCCTGCAAGCATGAGCAAGCACAAAAAGGGCTCAGCTAGGTTTCAGTATTAGCCTGACGGAGCAGACTCAGCCCCCGGCAGCAACGCAAGGGAGGCCTTGATTCAACTCCCAGCTCGGGTCACGGATTGCCGACGACGCAAGCCACACAACAATCAGTTCGACGAAATTCGCTCAACCTCCGCGCCAACAATCTTTGGCACTTGATGCGTGCTGGGGCCATGGCAGCACGGCAAACACCTCGCAAGGCTGCCAGGCATGCATGGCACGCGGCTGGCACTAACACCACAAAATCAGCGAACCAAAACTGCCCTGACACCTGTCTGCTCTAAATCTTGCAGAAGGTTATAGTGCAGGAACAATAGCCGCAACCATTGTTACAAGTATCGCAACGGCTAGTGTGCTGAATGACACTGTGTGGGCACCTGCGCTGGATCATGTCTCCCAAGAGTGGTTCATGGGCAGGGTGTAGGTGCGAAGAATCTGATGTTTTTTACTATATAATCATTTTATACTGGTGGATTAGCCTCTCCCCCTTTGCCACTTCTTCGACGACGTGAACTCTCGTCGAGACTACCTGAGGCCCTGGCGGCGTCGAGCAGCCATGGCCTGCATGCGCGATGGCCGTCAACATGGCGAGCAGATATTGAGAACGAACCCTAAAATTGGGGGTCGTAATTATACCCTATACTACGATAATTCCTATTAGGCATTTGAAATGGACATGCAGGTTGGGACGGCCATGACACCACGCAGAATCAGTTTGGGGGGTTGCGGCTGGAGGCTTTTCAGGGAATTGAATCTGAATTCGCCGTGTTGTGCCATGCCGTAAACAACACAACGCACTGTCGCCGCAGTGGAAGCTACAAAGGCCATAGAAAGAAGTCTTCGTCACAGCCATAAAACGCAAGCGAACTTCGAAGGATTCTATTCCTGATAATTGAACCATGAAAACTCCCAACCGGCCCATAGTGTAGATTGACCCAACGTAGGTGCAGCCCAGCCGCTTGTTGTTGAAACGGAGGTCGCAGTTTACTGAAGAGCCGCCACAGCTCTGCCGAAGACCATATTCTGGTGTGACATGTTGTGATCTCCTTGCTGCACTAGGACTGACTCTTGAAACCTGAAACCCTAAACCCTAAACCGTAAACCCTAAACCCTAAACCCTAAACCCTAAACCCTAAACCCTAAACCCTAAACCCTAAACCCTAAACCCTATAAACCCTAAACCCTACACCCTAAAACCCTAAACCCTAAACCCTAATGCAAGAAGGCACGCTGTTTTGCTTCGGACTGCAGTCATTGGCAGCCGCGGGCGAAGCAGCAGGCGTAGAATCCCTGCCCCATCCGGCAAGAAGGGATGTTATTCAGAGCTTTTATCCACGGCAATGATCGGAGTTGAAGCATGGACCGTTCTGTAAACGATGTTCCCTCTTTTAGTGCTTCAAAAACAAGGCACTGTTCGATACATTGTCGTCTTACTGTTAAACTTCGCCTGCTGAGTCACGGTCAGGTTAGATTCAAGCGTCTTCCTTCGGGGTATCGATATCGACACATGCCACGAATGCCTGACTTTCTTTTGCTGCAAAAGCATGCAAACACAACAATGATGAAAGTGAGATGTCCGCGGTGGCAGTGCTCAAGCCTTCATCCCCACTGAGCAAGGCGCATGGGAAGTTGGTTTCGGGTTTAGCGGTCGGGCATAGAATGACGAACCCCGAGCTCAAACTCCAACATCTGACGCTCGAGAAGCCCGCAAGCTCTGACATTCGAAACTTGGGACGTTCAACCCTTACACTAACAATCCTTCATAGGGATTATGTTAGGGGGTACTACAATCCCAACTCAGGCCTGCTAGTATAATAGGGAACATCCTAATGCGAAACCCTGAAACCAAGTCGGTTTCCCAACTCCGCTCCTGTTCTGCTCTACCGGGTCGGGTGGACAAGCCGCAGAATCCAAACCCTCTGCTCTCTCCAGCTGGGCCTGCTTCTGCTTTAGCTGCGCCACCTGTTTCACGACCGCTGTTGTTACCGCTTGAAGGTTCACACGCTGCACCTCAAAAAAACCCTACACCCTAAACCCTAAATCCTAGATGCGGTTAGCAGTGCCTCCTTGTCGTGCTCCCTCTGGATGGCCACCAGCTGGGCCTTGTGCTCCTGGAATATATAGGGGCTGGTGGGCCCGGTATCTACAATGACTGGACTTGGAGCTCGTAGAGTTCAGGGTTTCAACACGGGAAGGTTGGGGGTTTCAGCTGCTGTTTCGGGAATTGAGCCGCGCGCCCTTCATAGGGATTTGTCCTTAATAGGGATTTTAGTACCCCCCCCCCCTATTGTATCTCCATTAAGGACTGCTGGCATAAAGGGGAACATCCCAATGTTGAGTGCTGTAAGGGGTTTAGGGTGTAGGGCGTTATTAAAGTTGAAGGGGGCTCGAGGGTTTGTAGGCTGACGGGGTCTACAGGGCTCATGGCAGGTTCAGGCCGCACGGTTTCGGGTTTAGGCTTCGGGGAGCTAGGGCAACTCGCAACCCTAACATCTCCAAAGCAAGCCGTTGAGAAAAAAAAACCGCGCCGAAGCACTAACCCTCAAGTCAACCCTAAAGACCAAACCCAAGCCACAAATATGAGCCCTAAAACGCCAAAGCCCAAACCCACACAGGACCCTAAAACCCACGAAGCCCCAACCAAACTTTGAAGCAAACTAAAGCCTAGAAGCCCAAAAAAACAACCCTAGACAAACAGCCCTAAAACTTAAACTCTACTAGGCCCTTACCCCTAAACCCTGAACTCTCTTAAGCCCTAGACCCCAAAACCGTCGAAGATCCACCTCCAAGTCGCAAACCCTTATTAGGAAGATGCCTGAGGACCCAAAAAGTCCACTTATAGTAGCTAAGGCATTGGTGTTGTGATCCCACGCTGAGCAGAATAGCTACTTTGTCTTTATCCTCCTATGAGGATGCACTTTGTGCGCCATTATGGACTTAGCTGCTTAATATATACATTGGACAAGCTTAGGCTCGTAAATTCCAATCATCATCCCAAATGATGCAAATTGGTACCCTGCAATATCCTGGACCCTCAAGTCAATTGACCAGCGCCGCTCCCAGACTGCTCTACCAGGGGTTTAGGGTTTGGGGCATCTTTTCCTGAGAGGCCGGCCCTGCACCCGTGCACGGATGGAATACGGGCCAGCGGCGAAAGGGTGAGAAGTCAAGGCTTAGGGATGCTTGGGACTTCGGGTAGGTTACGAAACCCTTGTTGCAGGTAAAACCCTAACATCCTACAACCCGAAAACCCTAAAACCCTAAAACCCTAAAACCCTAAAACCCTAAAACCCTAAAACCCTAAAACCCTAAAACCCTAAACCCTAAACCCTACAAAACCCTTGTTGCAGGTATCTCCTGCAGCTTTGCTGTGGTGCAGAGGGCTTCCTGCAATTTTTCTGCAGCTTTGGAGGATGCTTTTCGATCATGCAGCTGCAGGCTTGAAAAGAGGTCGTGAGTTTCAGACCCAAAGTCGAGGAGCCTCCATTCTCAGGCTGAGGGGTGTTGAGGTTTCGTGGGAGTTGTAGTTCTTGCGTCTTGCAGTTTGCGGGCTTGCGATCTGCCGAGTTTGGCATCAACGTTCCATCAACAATCTTTGGGGCTACTTTCTGCCAAGACTGACCCCGCGCACATTGCTTTTTAAGTAGGCTGTCATCAGAAGGATGAATCACAACTACCTCGGGGTTGACACGAAACCACTACCAACGTCTCTTGGGTCGCCCACCAACGACTGAAAAGGCACAGGGCACCAGGTCCTCGGCCATCTGCAGCAGAGAGCCGATCCTTGGCTCTCGAGGCTCTGCAAGGAGATCGAAGCTCCAAACTATGAGATTCTGGTTGGGGCTTGACGATGCACATGCTGGCAACCTTTCACCCCTGGAGCCTATATGCCGGGAACCAAACGCTTCAAGTAGTGGATTCCAGAATTGGGAAAAATTTATTTGTCAGGGCCGAGGCACGTGCTCGCCTGCTGATCGACTCGCTCCCTTAGCTGCGCCATTGCCTGCGCAGGTGTTTGATGCTTGGGAGCTGGCACATTCGTTTGGGACGCCGCTCAAGCCACAAGAAAAAACAAGAAACAAACCACAACAAAAACTAAGCAAACCACGACATAAAGACTCCGGAGTAACTTCTGGGGACCAGATACGGGCTATATAGGGCGTTTTGAGGCACGATTCCGGAATTGCACCCCAATAACAACGTCGATGGAAAATCTCTGCCTGGGGCCTGGGCTAGGGATTTCAAACGTCGGTGCTGTTCTGGCCAAGCTGGGTTCCGGGCAGAATTCGAGCTGCTGTCAGGAAGCGGGCAGACCGCGCCACACAACGACAACGGCATCGAGCCTGGCACGACACGAGGCTTCTCGCGGATGATTCTTATAACCGTTTCGGACTGACGGTTATTTGAGCGAGGCGCAGAGAAAGCCAAGTCTGGACCTAACGGTTTTCGGATTGGCGGCATGAAAGAAGCCCAAAACGAGCTCCACAAGTCAGACCCTGATATCTGCTCCAAAACCTGGAACTGGCAACGCACCTCTGTCACCATCACTTCTGGGCGTGGGGCCAGCCTCCGCAGCACCCGTCCTACACCATGAGTCCGTCCACGAGCACCCGATCTTCTACGTCGGACTCATGGTTTTTGAGAGGTTGCGTAGCGCAAGCCCAAGACCTCAAACCTGTCGCTGCTACGACGAACGTTGGAAAACGATGAGACTGTTCTGCCATCAACGCATTGAGGCTGAAGCCTTTCTGACACCCTACGCGTTAGGTTCGGAAGCCCTAGGTTTAGGGCTTAGGGTTCAGGGTTAAGGTTTTAGAGGCCCTACTCCCTAAACGAAGCTATTGTTCCCTCACGACACAAGTCGCAGAGCTTGCGCCCGAAGACCTTCTTGCTAACATGGCACGGGATGGCATGCGTTAGGGCTTGGTGGGGCCTCTTGCACGACGTAGCCCTCATGCTTCAGGAGGCACATGCGTGGCAAAAGGCCTCTGGAAGGCACAGCGATCCCAGCTATGCCAGGTCGCCTTCCAAAGCCTTTGCGATCATCATCTGAAGAATTGAAGCTGTACTGTTGGGTTGACAAAAGTGCTGCTCACACACACCAACACACGCACACACGCACGCACGCACGCGCGCACGCACGCGCGCACGCACGCGCGCACGCACGGAAAACCA